GCAAACCCTGCCCACCCTGCTTGCCCAGCACCTGAGGGGGGCCCTCCCCCCCACCACCTCCTGGCCTTTGTAGGAATTGCCCACTGAGGGGGGGGCCTGCCCCCTGCCCCTCCCCTGCCCCTCCCCTTCTTCCTGTGGCTCCTTTTAAAACAACATGCCTGAAACAATGGAGACCTGTGCGGTACAGAGAATCACTAGCAGCATTAATATTACAAAACATGTATTGGAAATAAAACGTCCAGACACACACACACACACACTCATTCAGCAAGGAGAGTGCAAAATGCCCTAACCCCCCCCTTTGCACATGTGCCCCAGCCAATGGATGTTCCCCCAAGGAAAGCTCTTTGGCGTAAAAGGTTTCCTGAGGGGCCTGAGCCAAGCCCCCGGGGGCCACCCCCTCCTCCTGCAGCGCCCAGACAAGAGCTCTCTGACTGCCTGGATGGAGTCAGCGCCTTTGAAAACGGTGTATGTGTGTGTGTGTGAGTGAACATTTTGCTCATTTCAAATCTCCCAAGAAAAATGCATTTCGCTTCTCTCCTGGCCCTTTTTCTCGCGCCAGAGCTGGGTGGACGAGAAGACCCCGTGGACCACGCGGTACGGCTCCATCGCCGGCCTGGCTGAACTCGGGCACGACGTGAGTAGCTGCGGGTGGCCCGGTGTGTGCTGGGAAGGACGGCCTGTCTGGGCGAGCCAGAAGCTGAACCTCCTCTGGCGCATGTTCTCCCCACTAGGTGATCAAGACCTTGATCCTGCCGCGGCTGCAGGTAGAGGGGGAGCGGGTTCGGGTGGTGCTCGAAGGGCCGGTCGTCAGCAACATCGACAAGATTGGAGCGGACCACGTCCAGAGCCTCCTGCTGGTAACCAGGGGGGAGGAGGGCGGTGGTGATGGGTTACGGTTGGATAGACCTCCCCAGCTGCCTTCCTAAGTCACGGCAGAGGCTGAGTGGACAAAGAGGAACAGTCTGGTGTAGTGGTTAGGAGCACAGACTTTAATCTGGGAGGACCGGGTTTGATTCCCCACTCCTCTTCCACATGTGGCTGCTGGTGTGACTTTGGGTCAGTCACAAGTTCTGTCAGAGCTGTTCTTGAAAAATAGCAGTTTCTGTCAAGAGCTCTCTCAGCCCCACCGACCTCACCGGGTGTCCGCTGCGAGGAGGGGAAGGGAAAGGAGTTTGTAAGCCGCTCTGAGACTCCTAGTGAAGGGGGGGGTATAAATCCAATCTCTTCTTCTACGGGATCAGACCAGTGAGGGTCCACCTAGTCCAGCATTCCTGTCTCACGCAGTGGCCAACCAGTTCTTTGGGAGGGAGGGAGGGCCAGCAACGTAGAGTCTGCCCTTTTGACCACTGCAGCCCACTGGGCTGACGCTTCCATGGAGCTCTCCATGACAACCCCCACGACCCCTCTCTCCCCCTCTCTGTCTCAGCAAGTTCAGGCCCACCCCATTAGCCTAGACGTGAAGGTGGGGGTTTTGTGCCATTTTGCATCGCCTGACACCTACCGGCATGGGCCTTCCCTGGCCACAGTGCCGCCCACTCACCCAGTTTGCGGAGGTCCTCTTGGCGCTCTTTGCAGTCAACCCTGCTAGGGTCACAGGACAGAGAGAGAGAGAGAGCGCGCTGCCCGTTGCTGGTAGGCAGGCAGGACCGGAACATTTGGACTCCACCTCGTGGCCACACATTCTTTCACACCAGGATTTCTCAGAGAAGAGGCTGGGGTGGTCTTCCAGGCCAGGAGGTGGGCTGGGGTCAGCTTTCACGGCTCACCACCTCTCTCCCTTCCCCTTCTGCAGAAGCACTGCGCTCCTGTCCTGGCCAAGCTGCGCCCTGCGCCTGACAACCCGGAGGCCTACCGAGCCGAGTATGGGCCCCTGGGCGCCCTCCTGTGCCCCCACGTGCTCAAGGCGCGCGCCCAGGCGGCTCTGCAAGCCCAGCAGGTGAACCGGACCACCCTGACCATCACCCAGGTGAGGCGGCAGCAGCAGCAGCACCTTGGCTTACCCGGGGGGGGGGGGGGTCCGGTCCGGCCCCGCTCCTCGGTCAGGAAGTCACCACCCTCCTCTTTGCCTCCAGCCTCGCCCCACCCTGACGCTCTCCCAGGCCCCGCAAGGGGCGGGCTCTGCTGCTTCCCGCACACCCAGCATCCTCAAGGTGCCCAGCTCCCTCACGCTGCCCATGCAGACCCTGGTCTCCACCCGACCGGCCACCCCCACACAGCCTTCGCCCCCTCCCACCAAGTTCATCGTCATGTCCTCTGCCTCCGGAACCTCCACTTCCCAGCAGTGGGGGGGCAGAGCGTGGGGCTGCCTGGGGGGAAGGGGGGGGCCTCTCCGGGCCTGGCCGCTCCTTGACTTCCTCTTCCCCGGCAACCCGTGCAGGTGATCACGCTCAGCGGGGCTCCCGCAGGGACCTCCACCTCCCCGGTCACCACCACCGTCCCCAGCACCCAGCCGTTGATGAAGCTGGTCTCGGGGGGGCAGGCGGCGCCCAGCCCCCCCGTCTCGGGCAGCGTCCAGAAGTACATCGTGGTCTCGCTGCCACCGGCTGCAGAAGGCAAAGGGGGGGGCAGCAGCCAGCTCTCGCCCTCCCCTTCCACTCAGTCTCCTGGCCTGGCCCTCTCCACGGGCGGCATCAAGCAAGAGCGGAGCGACAGCCCCCCGCCCCCCGCCAGCACCACCGCCGCGGCCACCGCCTTCCTGGCCAAAGCCAACGGGGGGGGCATGGTGCCCGAGTCCCCACAGCCTTCCCTGTAAGGACCGGGGGGGGGGGTTAGGGTTAGCGGCAGCCCCTCTCGTTTGGGCCCAGAAGCTGGGGGCAAAGGCAGTCCCCTCCCCCAGACCACCTTGTGCCAAGCTGAGCAGGACTTTGTGCAGGACCTCTCACGCACACACACACACCCCGGGGTGACATCACTTCCTATGTAAATAAATTCTCTTTGTTCTTTGATCAATCAGCCTCCTGTGGTTCTTGCCTGGCCCCCCAGGGAGAGCACCTTCCTGAGGAGGGGGGGGGGTCCCTCACCTTACTGCACACCTTGTCGTGCACGGGAGCTCCCTGCCCTGCTAGTTGGGTGAAGGGGGGGTGCGGCTCTGTTGGGGGGGGGGGGGGGGGACTT